CCCCCCCCGGGTGGCCCTCTGTCTCTCTGCAGGTACACGTGCCCTCGGTCCCGGTGTCAGCTGTCTCTGTGGGCTGCGGGCATGCGAGTGTGACAAGCAGTCTGCGTACTGCTTCAGAGAGAGCCTGCCCACCTACGAGAAAACCTTCGAGCAGTTCTCCACCCGGCCCCACTGTGGGAGGCATAAACTCCAGTGCTAGGCAGCTACAGGCCCCTGGCCGGTCAGCAGGTGTTCCGGAGTCACCCTCCCGGGAAGCCTTCTCATGCCGTCCCCAACAGGCTCCAATGGTGGCTGCAGCCACCATTCAGCACAGGGCCTAGGGTACTCCTTCGTCACTCGACACCAGAGGGCTGCAGACCAGCAATGGAAAAGATAAGACCCTGGCACGCGAGGGAGGGAGACTGCCTGTTCACATGTACACAAATAAATGACGCTTTCTGATAGTAGTAAGTGCTAAGAAGCAGTACAGCAAGGGGACAGGGTAGAGAGATGTTCCCAACCCCCATCCGGGAATTCCCAGGAGGGCAGAGGACCCAGGATCTGCCCTAAACTCCCCCTCCGCCCCCACCCCAAAGTCAGGATGCAGGGCGGACTTGGGAATGGGGCACACGACCCAGATCCAGCCGGGGACAGAGCAGGGACCCTGCAAAACAGGGATCCAGCCAAGGATCCGAGAAGCATGCTTTGGACTCTTTTCTCATTTGCTTGGGTTCTGCTCTCTGAAATCCCTCCGGTGGCAAAAATTAAGGCCACTTTCACCTCTTAAGAGACAGAGCGTGAGAGCAGCCACATCCACTCCACGTGGATGTCGGGGCCAGGAAGACGTCAAAAAGTTGGGGAAAGATGGCCTCGGAAGAGTGCGTCAGAGGGACCCGACATTTCCATCCGAGTTCAGGAGGCCCTGGAGATATCAGACTCCGATGCTAACGAACACCAAAGTCGCCTGACGTGGGCGGATTCTGTTCTTTGTCACGCCCACGTGGCGTGGTAGGTTGCAAAATCAGCCGCACAGCTGTCCTCTCTGGAGGCTATGCCTCTCTGTATCCTTGCCTCTCGTAAAGGAACGCTCGGCGTTTCCCATCAAGAAGTAGAGTCTGCTCCTCCCAGTGGTTGAATCTAAACTCTGCGCTGACCTCGTGAATTACTTAGGTCGACGGAACGTAGTGGAACGTACGAATGGTCGGTCTGCCGGTTCCCGAGCCCAGGCCTCAGCAGGTCGGGTCTCAGGACACGTGGCGCTGCTGAGAACAAGCCTGGGCTGGCCCGCTGGCAGACGGGGGCCAGAGTGTCAGTCCGGCTGTCTCAGCTCAGACCTCAGACATGTAAAAGCACCCAGCCAAGGTCAGGCACGCCCACTCATTGCCGACCATGACCCACGAGAGAAGCTAGCTGGAACCAAGGCAACCACCCAGCTGACCCCAGGCTAAGTGGCCGATTGCAGAAGTGTGAGCTGCATAGAGGCTGCCGTTTTAAGTCACTAAGTTGTGGTGTGGTCTGTTATACAGTCAGTACTCGCCGGTCTTCATTCACGGCTCGCTGAGAACTGTGACCAGTTCTCCGCACTGCGCTGCACGGGGAGGCCACAAAACGTTGTGCACGTGGCCCCTGCCCCTCACCTTGTAGGTCTGGGAGGAGAAAGGCTGTGATCAAATATAATAAGGATGAATGCACAAACGGCTGTAATCACACAGTCATCCAACAGACGTTTATTGAGCCCCCACTACGTGTCAGACACAGTGCTGGGCAGTAACGATTCAGAGATTTAAAGAAAACAAACCACATCAGGTCTGAATATCCTGGGGAGAACTTCGAGAGCCATAGCAGCTTTTAGAAGTTCAAGTTCAGACACTTACACTCTGGATTGGGTGATGCTGTCACTGATGTGAGGACAGAAAGGGAAGCCACGGGCAGGTGGTCAGCAGAGGGTCTGGGAGCCATGGCTCCTGGGCTCTGCTTTGCTCAGCTGGCAGAGTCCAGTGGTAAATTCGTCTGCCTTTCCTTCCTCCCTTCCTCACTCCCTCCTCCCTTCCTCCTTCCTTCCTTCCTTCCTTCCTTCCTTCCTCCTTCCTTCCTTCCTTCTTCCTTCCTTCCTTCCTTCCTTCCT